ATAGAGGCTCCAGGCTTCAGAGAAACCCCAGTACTTTCTAAATTCTCTCCCATTTGGGGTAATGCATTATTCGTAACAGGGAAATAAGACATGGGTTTTAAGCTGTGGTTCCAGAAAGGCTTACAGAAGATATCAGATCTCTATGAAAATAATATACTGTTAACCTTTCAAACCTTAAAGGAAAGATATAAAATTTCTGTCTAATTTTTTTAAAGTATCTTCATGTCCGTAATTTTATAAGATCTAAAACTCATTCATATCAGTGCCCAACCTGAAGTTATTTACAAGAAATTGTAGTTAAAGTCCCCAGTGCCAAATACAAAATTTCTACATTATAGCAAATTCATTAATGCTTCCAAAGAATCAACAAATCATAAAAGAGTGGCTTGGATTGATGACTTTCAAATGGTAGTTACAGAAAATGAATGGGAAAAAAAGTTGTATTCAAGCGCAAACATTATCAATCAATACCCGTTTTAAAGTAATCCAATATAATTGGATAGTGAAAACATATATAAAACCGGAAAATTCTTAGTCATTTCCCACCTGCCTTATCACTGAATATGAAGAGCAGTTTATAAATCTGTGTTTATTGCATGTAAAGCATCTGATTGCAATTCACTAGAAAAGTATTTGTGGCCCAAAAATGCACATATTTTACAAGATTTGGGACTTCTTTCTTCATTATTTAAATAAGAATGGACTGACCGTTTAGTATCCCAAACAATGTGACTGTGTTAATGTGCACTGTGTTTGTTATGACTAAATTTAATATATTTTTCACTTTCATTGAAATGTATGTGTTGAAATGTCAATGTCTTAATGGTATTTTTTATTTATTTATTTTTTTTTGCTAAATTTCCCTTTTTATTTGTCATTATTTTTATTATTATTTTAGTTTTTTTTATTTAGTTTTATTTTTTTATTTTCTATTTGAATGCATATTTTTGTATGGCTCTTTTGGGATGGGGTGGGTGGGTGTTTGGTATTTGGTTACTAATACAGAATGTATGTATCATATTTTTCTGAAACAATCAAAGTATTAAAAAAAAAAAAGAAATTAAGATTGTGGATAAAAATAGAGTTATACAACATTCCTTTGGCTTAATCCCTAGCATTTTAGATCTTGTCTTGACTGGAGATCAAAATAAAGAAGATTTAATTGTGTTAATGTCATTGTTTCAAATTGGCCACCTAACATAGTATGCTACCTAATATGATATATATATATATATATATATATATACATGTGTGTGAGTGCCGTAAAGGTGTCAGAAAGTTTAACTTGGTGCTCTAAAGTCTGTGTGCTGCATCTGACACTATTGTTGTGTCTATAATATCACATAATCACCCAAGGGGTCACAAAATAAATGGAAGGGCTGATGGCTTTTTATTTGCGTATTGTAATGTTTATTTAACAAGTTAACAATGTTACTACCATTTTTTTCTTCAGTAGGTTATAGATAAAATATGGCAATTCTGAATTAGAATTAAGCTTTTGGAAATTGCCAAGTGAATGGAACTGTTGGACAACTGTCGGAATATATGTGAAACTAGAAAATCAATCTCACTTTCCTTCAGCTTATTCCCTGCCTTATCTGGGGTTGTATCAATCTACTTTTTCAAATTGTTTCTGTTGAGAGACTTTAGTTACTTTAGAAGAAAATAACAGCGCTTGTCATGAAGTAGTGCTATTATTATTTCACACATACAAACCTGACAAGGAAAACACAAACATCAGCCTGACATTTTAATGCAGGATAGCACATTACAACAAGGTTATTTTACACATTCTCACATAAAAAAAATATATATTATAAAAGAAATTTTAAATTATATATTTATATAACATGTGAACTGAAGTGCATAGCAATGAGACCATTTTTTGTTGAAAAGACAAATTGCATGATGAAAGGAATGTCAGCGAGTCTCTTTATAGTATTATCATGTTTTCTATGGGTACCTTAAACATAATATGAATTATTCTAGTTTCAGATAACAAAAAGTAACAAAACAATAACTCTCGGTCATCATTCTCATTATAAAGGGGGAGTGTTAGTTATCCCTGAATTAAACCAATTTGTTTTAATCTCAACCTGCAAAATGCATAGCCTGTGGTCCCAAATGATGAAACAAAAAAACTATATTTCAAAATAAAATATTTATAACGCAAAGGCTGGTGTTATGAACAAAACTAAAATGATAAACTGACGTTTTAATGAATATCTTCTTGGTCAGGGTTTTCTGACCAGGTTCACTACATTTGTGCTTCTTTAATAGCAGGAGTTTCACTGTTTGCAGTGCACTGTTCTAAGGCTAAATTTAGTCTTTCTAGGTAACAAAAATGATGCATCATGTGGCGTCAAAAATATATATTCAACTCTAGTCATAAACATTTCAAACTCATAATTCATAGTGTAGTGTTGGGAATTTGTTTTTGTATTTGAATTTATTAAATGTACAGTGGGGGGAAAAAGTATTGAACGCGTGACCATTTTCCTAAGAAAACATATTTCTAAGGATGCTGTATACTTGAAATTTCCATCAGATGTTGGTAACAACAAAAGAAATCCATATGTGCAAAGAAAATAATAATAATTAGTTTACAAATGAAGTTATGTGTAATAAAATGAAATGACGAAGGGAAAAAGTATTTAACCCAAATGAAGAAATTATGGTGGAAAAAGGCAGTGAAAGCCCAGACTGCAGCTGAAATCTCTTTAAGTAGTTCTTCGGGAACTCTCTGCCTTTTGTCATTGTACATGAGTATTAGCTGCTTTAGTCTGACGTCTACTTTATCAAGATGATGAAGGTGTTACCAGGGTGGACATTTCAGCAAGACAATGATCCAAAACACAGGTAAGGAAACTCTCAAATACTTTCAGATAAAGAAAATTAAGCTGTAGAATGGCCCAGCCAATCACCTGGCTTGAATCCAATAGAAAATACAAAATAAAAAACAGACTTGATGGATGAGACCCACAGAAACATCAAGATTTTTACACTGTTGAAGTCAGTGAAAAAAAAAAATCACACCTGAAAATTGCATAACTTCATTCTCTATATGAGAGTCGTCTTTAAACTGCCATCACCAAAAAATCTTTAATAAAAGTATTTAATACATTTTACTTTCTTCTAGTGTCCTTCCATTCTTATTCCACATTTTGTTCAGATTTTTTTTGTTTGTTTGTTTGTTTGTTTTATTATATTTTTATGTTTGTATTTTTTGGGGTTTTACCTAAATCTGGTTTAATTCCCTGTCAACAGCCCCTATATAATATTTTTCCAGAAAAAAATAAATAAAAAAACAACAACATGACAAGTTTAATACTTATTTCCCCCCCTGCATATAAAGCTATGGATAAAAATCTTAAAAACACTTGTTTAATTGTTATTAAAATGAGAAAGTAATGTCAGTTCGCAAATAAAGCAATAAAACATTTTCAGTATTTTGTATAATTACGTAGTAAAACCTTTTAAAGTCTTTATTAATATATATATATATATATATATATATATATATATATATATATATATATATATATATATATATATATATATATATATATATATATATATATATAATTGACGTTCTAAATACAGTTGAATTATTAGCCCCTTATTTATTTTTTTCCTCAATTTCTGTTTTTAATGCAGATCAATCAATGCAGATTTTTTTCCACACATTTCTAAACTTAATAGTTTTTATAACTCATTTCAAATAACTGATTTATTTTATCTTGGCCATGATGACAGTAAATAATATTTGACTAGATAGTTTTCAAGACACTTCTATGCAGCTTAAAGTGACATTTAAAGACTTAAAAGACATTTAAAGACTAGGGTAATTAGGTCAACAAGGCAAGTTAGCCTAAACAGGAAATTTATAATGATGATTTGTTCTGTAGACTATCGAAAAAAAATTGCTTAAAGGGGCTAATAATTTTGACCTAAACGGATTTAAAAAAAATTAAAAACTGCTTTTATTCTACCCGAAATAATACATATAAGACTTTCTCTAGAAGAAAAAAATATCATCAGACATACTGTGAAAAATTCCTTGCTCAAAAAAATTCAAAGAGAGGCTAATAATTCTGACTTGGACTGTATACACACACACACATACTGTCATACTGAGCATAGGCGGTTGACATTCCGCAACAAGATGGCGACGTAGACCGCATTTTAAGTCCTTAGGGGGGAAAAACAGCATTTTTTAGTGTACGTTTCAAACTACAGCTGAACAAATCATTACAGAACAGGTAAGTGACATTCTAAGGTCGATCTCTCTCTTTTGTTTGTTGTAGTGCAGTATTTATACCACAGAAACTGGTAGTGTTTGCTTTGCTTTGGGCTTTTGGGGGTTAATTATTGTCTCCCGATTATAACAGAAATACCGGGAAATCTTTACAGACTGATGGCATTTTATGCAGTTTAGCACTATAATCTTAAAATGTGAGCAAAATTACCTAGAGAGTCATTATAATACTAGTTCTTAAGTGACGTTGGTAAATAAGTTCTGCTGTTCTGACGTCAACAGATGTTTATGAATGGCAGAAGAAAGTAGTTCCTCTAACAAAAGGATTTTTAGACTCTCTGTGTTTGATTTTCTTTTTATATACACAAATATGCTGTCGAACTGTTGTATGAATACAATATCACAGTCGTAGCAGTGCGATATGGCTGTGTATCGCCTGGTGGGACACCTGCGGCCTTGTGCCAAGCATGCCTCCCACCAGTGCCGACATATTTCGCAAAATTAATTAACAAATAAACAAATCAAACCAATTTAAAAGTAAAATGTCTAGTCACATCTGCACATTTTTTGCCAAACTGTACAGACAAAAAAAATCTATATACTGTTTTGATCAACTTGGTGTGAAGAAATGTGCCATGCTTCTGTATAAAATCATGTCAGAGAAAAGTAGCGATTAAATTTGAGTGCATCTTCAAAATTATTATTTTTTGGCAGTGTAGCTGAGAAGTTTTCATTTTAAATACACACAAAAAAGCATAATTTACTGTACCCACACTTTACATCCAAAATAGACTTACATACATAAAATATATTATCTTTTACCAAGGGAAAATAGTATTTAGAGTTAGTTTTACATTGTTAATTTAGTTCAAATCAGTTGTTGTAGATGAACTGCAAGGTATATCTGTAATTCTGAATGATGGTGGTGGTGATTTTTGTTGTAGGTGAACTGGATATCGTGTTGCTCTGGATGCTGATTGTTTTTGCAGTAGCTGGTGTATTAGACGCTATGTCTGTTGGTTGTTGTTTTAGTAGGTATACCAGACGTTTTTTCTGTCTTTCAGAATGGTGTTTTTGTTGTAGGTAAAGTGGATGTCGTGTCTGTCAATCAGAATAGAGGTTGTTGTTTCTGTTGTAGGTCAAGTGGATGCTGTTTTTCAAACAGAATGGTAAACCGGACTTTTTGTCTGTCATTCAGAATGTTTGTTGTTGTATTATTAGATAAAATGGACATGTTGTCTGTCATTTAGAATGATGGTTGTTGTTTTTGTTGTTGTACTAGGTGAACTAGATGTCATGTTCGTTATTCTTGATGGAAGTTGTTGTTGTAAGTGAACTGGACGTTTTGTCTGTTGTTCTGGATGGTGGTGGTTGTTGTAGCTGAACTGATGGTGGTGGTTGTTGCTGTAGGTGAATTTAACATTGTGTCTGTTGTTCTGGATGGTGGTGGTTGGTTTTGTTGTATGTGAACTGGACATTGTGTCTGTCAAACAGAATGGTGATTGTTGTTTTTTATGGAATAGTTGAATTGGATGTGTTTGTTGTTCTGGATAATGGTTGTAGATGAACTGGTCATAATGTCACTCTGAAGAGTGGTTGTTTTGTTTGTAGTAGTTGGTGAACTGGGCATTGTGTCTGTTGTTTTTGAAGGTGGTTTTTGGTAGTGTACTGGAGATTGTGTCTGTCATTCTGAATGGTGGTTGTTGTTGCTGTAGTAGATGAACTGTATGTCAGGTTTGTTATTCTGGATGGTGGTTGTTGTTGTTGTAGATGAACCAATGGTGGTTGTAGTTGCTGAAGAAGAACCGGACGTTGTGTCTGTTGTTCTGGATGGTGGTGGTTGTTGCTGTAGGTGAACTGCTGATGGTTGTTGTTGCTGTAGTTAAACTGATGGTGGTTGTTGTTGCTGTAGATGAACTTATCGTTGGCCCTCTTGTTCTGGACGGTGGTAGTTGTTGTAGGTGAACTGATGGTGGTTGTTGTGGCTGTAGTTGAACTGAATGTTGTGTCTGTCATTCTGAATGGTGGTTGTTGTTTTTGTTGTTGCTGGTGAACTTAACTTTGGCCTGTTTTTTGGCCCTGTTGTTCTGGACGGTGGTAGCTGTTGTAGGTGAACTGATGGTGGTTGTTGTAGCTGTACGTAACCTGAACGTTGAGTCTGTCATCCTGAATGGTGGTTGTTGTAGGTGAACTTGAGATTGTGTCTGTTGTTTTGAATGGTGGTTGTTGTTGTAGATGTACTGGACCTTGTGTATGTCATTTTGTTGTAGCCGAACTGGATGTCATGTTTGTTGTTCTGAATTGTTGTAGTTGTGGTAGGTGACCTAGACACTGTGTTTGTCATTGTGAATGGTGGTTGTTGTTGTAGGTGAACTGGACTTAATATGTGTCGTTCTGGATGTTGGATGTAGGTGAACTGGACATTGTCTATTAGTCAGTCTGGTGGTTGTTGTTTTTGTTGTTGTAGTAGGTGAACTGGGCATTGTGTCTGTTGTTCTGGATGGTGGTGGTTGTTGTAGGTGAACTGGACATAATATCTGTTGTACTGGATGGTGGTTGTTGTTGGTAAACTGGACATTGTGTCTGTCAGTCAGTCAGTCAGGGTGGTTGTTGCTTATGTTGTTGTATTGTGTCTGTTGTTGTGGATAGTGGTTGTTGTTGGTGGTGAACAGGGCATCATATGTGTTGCTCTGGATGGTGGTTGTTGCTGTTGTAGGTGAACTGGAGATTGCGTCTGTCATTCTGAATGGTGATTGTTGTTTTTGATGTTGTTTGTGAACTGGATGTGGTGTCTGTTGTTCTGGATGGTAGTTGTCGTTGTAGGTTAACTGGACATTGTATCTGTTGTTCTTGATGGTGGTTGTTGTTGTTGGTGGTGGTGGTGAACTGGACATTGTATCTGTTGTTCTTTATGGTGGTTATTATTGTAGGTGAACATGACTTTTTTTTCCGTCATTCTAATGGTGGTTGTTGTTGTTGTAAGTGAACTGGATGTCGTGTCTGTTGTTCTGGATCATCAACACCTCTTTCATTCTCAGTTCATCCAATCTCCTCCACAGTTCCTCACGCTCCTGCTCTTTCTTCTTCTCTCTGAGGACAGAGGTAATGGATATCATGAACAGTGTCGTCTGAAGGAAACTTTGAAGATGTAGAATATGATCTTACCGCTGTCTGTCAGACTTGTATGAAGTCGTCAACTCATCAAAGAGTTTGCTGTTCATCTCCATCATGGTTTTTAACACATTATACACCAGCGCCACAATTGTCCTAGGACAGTCAAGAGACAAAAGAATTAGATTTATTATTTATTATGCCGAGAATATAACAAAAATACCACTACCAAAAAAAATAAAAACATTACACTTACAGTTACATTTAAAATTTCAAATCCCTTTACCAAAAGAAATAAATGGATAGATAGATAGATAGATAGATAGATAGATAGATAGATAGATAGATAGATAGATAGATAGATAGATAGATAGATAGATAGATAGATAGATAGATTCTGTCTTATTATATAATATTATTTAAATTAAAATAATAAATAAATAAATAAATAAATATATAAATAAATAAATAAATAAATATTAATGTGTTCAGCACAACACAAAAAAAATCCGAAATCCGCAGGAGTAAATTCCATCATATATATATATATATATATAAAATAATAAAAATAAAAAGACTAAAACATACGGGTTCCAGTGCTCTTTGGAGATCCGGTACAAGTTTCCGAACATGATGGGAAAGATTTTGGCATTATTCTCCTCGATTAGACTCAAAATATACTCATTGTTCCAATAGTACAGCGCTCGCTCTGCTACCTGCAAACATCAAAGGGAACCAGTTTAACTCTATACTTAAATCAATACTTGAATAAACAAAGCAATGTTTTATTTAATGAAAGTAAAATGGTAACTCTTTGTTCCAAGTACTTACCATAATAATTACATGGTAATTTACCTGCATTGTAACTAAACATTAAGTTCATGTAATTAGTTGATATTACTTAGTAGTTAAACAAATAGTTACACTGTAACAAAGGCCCCGTTTACACTGTCAGGTCTTGATGCCCAATTCCAGTCTGTTGCCTCTATCTGAATTTTTTTTTTTTTTTTTTTTGCTTGTCTGTTTAAAGTTCTTTTAGTTGTGACCCATATCTAATTCATGTGTTTACACTTGCCATAGAATTTACGACGCCACGCATTGTGTAAAGGCGGGTTCTAGCAGCTGTGCCACACTAGGCAAGATGGAAGAAACTGTTTTTCTTTTTCCCTCTGCGGAGTTCGTCCAATTTTAAAATGATTTTGAGGTGGAGGAGGAGGTAAAGGGCCATAATCTCAGCTTTCGCCTATGATTTTTATATAGTGTCCACCATTCAGAGGAATTTGTGAGTACGAAAGAAATCTCAGGTTTGGTGGGAGCAAAATTGTAGCGTGCTTTAATGAGAAGCAGTGGGTCCAAAATTTTAGGATAAGCCACACCCGATCTTCCTTCTACGCCTTTAAACCAAAGAGAAGTATCAAATTTTCCATTACCATAATTTGGGACCAGAGGTGGAAAGTAACGAATTACATTTAATCACGTTACTGTACTTAAGTAGTTTTTTTGAGAATTTGTACTTTTTAGAGTAGAGTTTAAAATCTGTAATTTTACTTTTAATTAAGTATGATTTGCCTAAAATATTGTACTTCGCTACATTTTAAATCATATGCGTTACTGAGTAAAAAATAAATATATAAAGAAATGCAACGGAAAAAAAAAAAGGAAATCGCACCCGGAAATCATGTCATTGCAGCAGCAGCATGAGAAAAATCTGCGGGAAACTTGTCTATTCACTGTTACTGGAGTTGGATGTTTCGCCGAAGTTTAGAAAGTTTATCAGCGAAATACCTGTCAACCCCAGCAATGACAAGGTAAGCTACTGTATATGCCCTTACATGCGTATGGAACTTCAACACGGGAAAAGTTTAGAATGCTTAGTATAAAAGCATCTCCAATCGATGGTTTAATGTAATGTTTGCACTTGTTGGACTAACTTCCAAATCTCGTCACTAACGCTAAAGTCTGATAATCCTCCGTAGAAATGATCTTACGCTGACATATTTCCTACTCTTAGATATTTTACATATTCCTACAAACTATATTTCCTACATTTTCCGCATATTGTGCATTGTATGTGGTTGTAATGACAGCCCAAAGCACTAAACTGACACTTCTTTCACTTACTCGCCCTTTGCTTGTAATAGGCCTAAATATGTTTGATTCTCCTTCTTATGTTGAACACAAAAGAAGATATTTGTAAGAATGCTGGAAAGCTGTATCCATTGACTTCCACAGTATCCAGAGCTATAAAAGTTGTTACACCAAGTTGTTGGGATTGAAAGTGAATTCCTTCACTGCACTTGATCCACGATATAAAGATCATTACTATGCGTAAATAAAGCAGCGCGCAGTGCCGCACACATGAAATGATAAAGACCGCGAGGGATACGGAGAGACCTTTTTTCCCATCGCACACGCAATGATAGCTGATGGAGCGCGTGCGCAGCGCATAGCACAGAAGCAACTCGCAGGCGTTTGCCTACTGGCTGCATCAGCAGAGCACACCTTATCTCTGTCTGTTCTAGTTACCTATCTATCTTTCTATTTTTCTTTTCATCTGCCCCAGAGCCCGCAGTAACTTTATCACATGTTTAGTGTTTCCTTAACCTGCAAATTTTTATTTCACAAATTATATATCATGAAGATCTGTACTATATGCTTCTAAAGCTTTATTAGAAGTGTTATTCATGTCTTTTCAGGTGATCTCAGATGACAATCGCCTGTTTTATCATGTCATTTAGTTTTTGATTGTTAGCATGTTGTAGGCCTTTGTAATAATAATTATACAATATAGTTATAATGACACATATACATGATCAAACTAGTGTGTTTAAACTAGTTTTAAATTAGCTTGTTTTTGTAGTTTGGGCAAAAACAAATGTTTATTGCATTTTTAATAGTTTAAGTTTATTTAATTGCCTATTTTAAAAATCAGTGGATATTACAAATGCATTTATTGGATAAAATAAAATTGCTATCTTTTACTGTAATAAGTCCCCATCCCTAGAAGTGATTAAGGGTACACAGTCATAGCCATACATGTAAAGCTATTTATATGTATGTGGAAAAAGTGAAGCACTATGAATTTATATTTAAAATAAAATATCAGATCTCCGTGTGGTGCACTGGCTGTTGTCAGACTCCTTGTGCAAACAAAAATCTTTCAGAAAAATTACAATTAATAGCAAAATGTATTTGAAAACATAGACATACTATTGAAAATTCATACATAGTTCATAAGAGTCATACTTCTGTGGTTATTGGATAAAGTAACCTAAAAGTGATACAAAAGTAGAGTGCATTTCTGAAATATTAGTAATGTAACCAATTACAAAAAAAAAAAAAAAAAATGACAGTAACTTTTAATATATAATGTATTACATTTTGGAAGTAACTAGCTCAACTGTGTTTGTAACATTGCTAATGTTCGTTAGCACAAAGATTAGATATTAACGTGGATGCGGAGCAAAATAGTGTATGCACAAAGTGTTTATGCACAACGGGCTCTATGCACAGCTAGTTTCAAAGCCAACGATAAACCTCCGGTGATAGCTTAATGTGAGTATTTTAAATTTCACAAGGTTGTTTTAACAGCATCAATGTTGTAATTACAATACATTTAGTTAAATAGACTTAGGCTTTCGTTTAGTTGTTCAAGCGTAAAATTAAATGAATGATGGTGTAACCACTAGCACTATCAGTAGCAACAGGCTAGCGCAGAAATTCCATTTGAAAAAAACTGGGTAAAGTCTAGATAGGATATGTGGCCTGCCGGATGTGCGCTATGCACATCCATATAGCAGCATTTTTATGACACTGTGTAACAATAGGCGACGTGGTGGCACAGTAGGTAGTGCTGTTGCCTCACAGCAAGAAGGTCGCTGGTTCGAGTTTCGGCTGGGTCAGTTTGTGTTTCTGTGTGGAGTTTGCATGTTCTCCCTGTGTTCGCGTGGGTTTCCTCCAGGTGCTCCGGTTTCCCCCACGGTCCAAAGACATGCGGTACAGGTGAATTGGGTAGGCTAAAAATTGTCCGTAGTGTATGAGTGTGAATGAGTGTTTATGGGTTTCCAATTGATGGGTTGCAGCTAGAAGGGTATTCGCTGCGTAAAACATATGCTGGATAAGTTGGCGGTTCGTTTCGCTGTGACGACCCTAGTTTAATAAAGGAACTAAGCTAAAAAGAAAATGAACGAATGACTGTATAACAATAATAAACATTTTTACAGTAGTGTGATGGTTGGGTTTAGAGTAAGGGTGGGGGTGGGCTTTAAAAAATACAATTTATTGGGTAATTTAATAGATAGCATAAATAATACTCAATAAAACTACTGTTTTTACGTTACTGTGACAGTTGGATTTAGGGTTGGGGTGGGGTAAACGTTAATAAAACACAACAAATGTGAAATTTAATAAATAATATAAATAATTCTTGTTAACTTTCAGACGCAACTGTATCTAGCAACAACCAAAATACCGGGGTAAAACAAACTGTCATATTTTAAAGACATGGCGGGGGGAAATGGACTTTAATGCAGTGCTTCTTGTCCGATCTAAAACCCACTTCATATCGTATATCTAACAGACAGTGAAGATCACTGATTTTTAAAGAAATCAGATCTTAAACGTGACAATTTAGAAATGGAAAGATGTCATCAGAGGCCATTGGGCTGCCTGGCTGAAAATTAAATGTCTGTGTGCATATAGCCCATTTAGCTAATACACAGATGTTGCATTAGAATTTGTATAAATTGTTAAATAGGATAATTTGTAAAATATTTAAAATAATTTTTAAAGTTACTTATATAAAAAAAATAACTAATTGGAGATTTATATCATCTTTTTCTTTTTGAGAAAGAGTTAGTCTTTACTTTTTACTCATGAGTAGATTTTTAATGAGTTATTTTTTACTTTTAATTGAGTAGATTTATAGACATGTAACTTTATTTTTACTTGAGTAAAAAAATGAGTAGAAGATTCTACTTGAGTAGAAGATTTTATTAGTCTTTCCACCTCTGTTTGGGACACACTTTCGAAAAAATATATAGGACAGGATAGTATGTGAATTGTCACAAGACTGACAATATACTAACGAACATGGCAAAACCAAGACATTCATATTTTTATGCCTTCACATGCTTGTATAGGGGGATTAAATGATCTAGCAGCTATAAAAATATTTATAAAACAGATTTATTGCTTTTAACTCCTAAGAGGGAGCAAGTGCAGTGTACACAGTTAGTCTTTAGTTTGAAAGTGTTGAGTTTTGTATACACAATCAAATAGAGAATTGGGTGTGTGTGTATCTGCATTTAAAGTATACTCTGGTTTTCCACAGTACCTGAAAATGAGGGCTGGCTACACATTTAGCGATTTGCTTAAATAAAGGCTCTTGAATTTTCTTGAACTGCGTGGGCTCAATAACGTCCAGGATCTCCTCGATTTCCCCTAGAAACATGACCTGAACAGATCAGAGATGGAGAAATAAATAAATCATCAGACACTTAATTTTGCACATATGTAAAAAAGTAAAGAAGAGAAAGAAGTCATTGTTTTTACACTTATAATACATTGATTACTACCTGTAATGACAAAAAAATAAGACTGGAGATTGAAGTTTACCTCTTTTTGACTACAGGTCTTGGGCCAGAATTTCAGTAGGCCACGAACCACCTGAGAGGAGCAAGAAAAGAACTGATCAACTCAGAAAGACTGGTGAATGTAGAATAGATATATACTTCAACTGCCTGTTAACACAAATTTCTAATCAGCCAATCACATGGCAGCAACTGAATAAATATAGGTACATTATTGGAAAAACGTTGCCTCGTCTGATGAGTCACGATTTCTGCTGCGACATTCGATTGGTAGGGTCAGAATTTGGCTTCAACGACATAGATCCATCGTGCCTTGCATTAACGGGTCAGGCTGGTGATGGTGGTGTTATGGTGTGGAGGAAATTGTCTTGGCACCTTTGGGCCCATTAGTACCAATTGAGCATCGTATCAACAACCCAGCCTTCCTGAGTATTGTCAGTGACGATGTCCATTGCTTTATGACAACAGTGTACCCATCATCTGATGACTACTTCCAAAAGAATAACGCACAATGTCATAAAGTGCAAATAATCTCAGACTGGTTTCTTAAACATGACAATGAGTTCACTGTACTCAAATGGCCTCCACAGTTCTCAGACTCAACCAAATAGAGCATTAAGGGTGTTTATTAACTGAAATTCGTATTAAAATCTGCTTTATTTGTATTGTGCAAAAAAATTTGTAAGGTTTTTGTGTTTTATACAATTGAAGTCCCTTCTGAACTATTAGTCCCCTGTTAATTTTTCCCCCAACTTCTGTTTAATGGAGAGAAGATTTTTTCAACACATTTCTAAACATAATAGTTTTAATAACTAATTTCTAATAACTGATTTATTTTATCTTTGCCATGATGACAGTACATAACACGAGCGATTGCTCCATGTCTGAAATTTCTGTCTAAAGAGGTCATGTATTAATCCTTGATTGGTCTCACACAGCAAGTGATGTGATTTTGCAGGTTCACCAAGCTTGAACTTTGCACCGCAGCGACCAGCGAAGTTTAACGCATGACCCCGCGTTTCCGGTCATGCATTCGTGTGAGTATAAATGGAAGTTTATGGGGAGAAAAGTCAAGTGTGATCGCAGCTTAACATGATTTAAAGGCTTAACTAATTATAATAATAATAATAATACATTTTATTTAAAGGCGCCTTTCTAGCAACTCAAGGACACCGTACAATCAACAAGAGCAATAAAACAAGAAGAGAATAATAAAATATACACAGCAATAGTGCAAAAAAAACAAAATTAAGTATTAAAAGCCATCTTATTAAGTGGGATTTGAGTCTTAATTTGAATAGTGTGAGGGAGTCAATGTTTCTGATAGCAGGTGGTGATAAGTTCCAAAGCCGTGGAGCAGAGCGGCTAAATGCTCTGTTGCTCATAGTCGAAAGAAGAAAAGAGGGAACAGACAAGTGGAAGGAGGAAGAAGATCGCAGGGTGCGAGAAGGAACAGAAATGTGTATGAGGGCAGATAAATATGGAGGGGCGAGATCGTGAATGGCTTTAAATGTTAACATCAAGATTTTAAAGTCAATTCGAAAATGAACAGGTAACCAATGAAGCTGCTGCAGGACAGGGGGGTTGTGAAGAGTAGAAGGAGTTCTGGTGATGATACGGGCATGCAGCTGAGTTCTGGACCAACTGAAGCTTATGGAGGGATTTATGAGTAAGACCAAATAGAAGAGAGTGCAGTAATCTAAACGAGATGTAACAAGACTATGAGAAACGAGAAAACGAGAAAAGCAGTGGCATGAGGGGTAAGAGCAGGGCAGAGACGGTTAATATTGCGTAGGTGGAAGTAAGCAGATTGGCTGATGTTATTGATGTGAGAATCAAAAGATAGTGTGCTGTCAAGGATGACACCCAGACTCTTAACCAGTTTAGAGGGATAAATAGAGCAGTCGTCAATTGAAAGAGAAAAGCTGTCAGTTTTGGAGAGTGTTGATTTGGTACCAATAAGCAAAACCTCAGTTTTTGAACTATTTAGTTTGAGGAAGTTAAGAGAGAGCCAGAACTTGATTTCTGCTAAGTAGACTGTAAGGGATGTGGGTGGAAAACATAAAGAGGGTTTGCCAGAAAAATAGAGCTGGGTGTCATCCGCATAGCAGTGAAACTGTATGTTATATTTACGAAGAATATTACTAGATTAATTAGGTTAAAGTTAGGGTAATTAGGCAAGTTATTGTATAACGATGGTTTGTTGGAAAAAATATATAGTTTGAAGGGGCTAATAATATTTACCTGAAAATGGTTTTTAAAAAAACTAAAAACTTATTCTGGCCGAAATAAAACAAATAAGACTTTCTCCAGAAGAAAAACATATTATCAGACATACAGCGAAAATGTTCTTGCTCTGTTAAACATCATTTGGAAAATATAAAAAAAAATCAAGTTCAAATTCAAAAGGGGGCTAATAATTCCGACTTCAAATGTATATTGAAAAGAGGAAAAAACAATAAATCACTGTATGAATGATGTAATGTTTAAATAATTTACGTGATCATGTGGAAGGAAGGAAGAACACAGCATTTGTATTCTCGCGGTCTCCCGAGTTTGTTTGTCGAGTAACCTTGCAATAACAGTCTCTACAAGAATGCTTCTCAGTGTTTTTGGAAATGAGAAATAGTAGTAGTCCAATGCAGTGGCAGATGTGATGTGTAGAGTGCCCTCTAGTGTGTCTACGGGGCACTCATCTTGCTGACTGACATTTGGCTTCAGTACTGACTAGTCTAATGTATATGCACAAATATATCATTGTAAAGCATCCTATAGAAAATGTTCATTTAAATGAGAGATTTGTGAGTGGTGTACTTAAATATGCTGAGCATTGTATAAACATGCTTACTATTTTCATCATGTATAATTGAATTAAGTGAAAATGCAACAATCAATTTGATAATAAATTATTTATTTTTTATCTTTAATTATTATGAATATATGTATGTATGTATGTGTGTGTGTGTGTGTGTGTGTGTGTGTGTGTGTGTGTGTGTGTGTGTGTGTATATATATATATATATATATACATATATATATATATATATATATATATATATATATATATATATATATATATATATAATTAAATATATATAATTCAAGCAAAGAACATAAATCAAATATTTTTTATGATTTATTATTTTTGAAATATTATATAAATAATATTTATAATAAAAATCAACAATAACTAAAAAATAAGTACATGGAAATACATGAAATACGTTATTATAAATAAATTATACTTGTATTATTGTTTTTTTTTAAATAATACTAATAATAATAATATAAGGGCAATTTGATTTCCAAGAATACAATGGAATACAAGAATACACTACAAAGTGTAGTTTTCTTAAAAGCAGGGTTCGACAATAAGCAAGGCCCAATATTGGTGCAAATGTGATCTTACAACCGAAAAACAGCACGACTGACAAAAATAACTGTTCGTGCGAGCAAAACAGCATAAAAGGAGGTAAATACCGAACGAGAGGATGATCACTCGCGCGCATAGGTGATGTGATTTGATGCACGCGAATCTCCCGTTTACTTGCGCAAAGTAACAATGCCTAGAAGAAGCGCAACTGGTGCGATCTGTTCTGTTCGAAATAGACTGGACAAAGAGCGATGATCGTTCACCCACAGACAGTCCTGCTGCTTTCAAGAGCTCAAGATAAAACAATACACATTCTTTTGTAAGCAGCAGCGGTCACTGCTTTCATTTTAATTATTCTTTGAACGGATTATTTAAAGGCCAATATTAACTGTGCACGTGATCATCCTTTCATTATCAAACACGGTATGTTTCACCTGCTTTCTTTTGCTTACAGTTATTTTTGTTAATATGGTTTAATTTAAATTTTTTACAATAACATTGCTTTAATGGGAGATTACTCCCCGTTTATGTGTAGTTAACTGGTGATCTGGGACTTTTAGCCAGGACAGATTACTGTGAAAATTTTAGATTTATAATAGTTACTTTTTCAAATGTAATGTTTTTTAAAGAAAAGTTTTGTTGAATTAAAAAGTCCACATATAACGCTATATTTATAACGCTATACTTATTTGGTGTGGTCAGAGATAAATTTGGTAAATCCTTAATTTTGAGCCCTGAAAAGTGAAATAACAACTGACTGCATCCTGAGCAAGCCAATACACAATACACACATGATGTTTAATGAATGAGAAGGCATGTGGACATACCACAACTTCTATAAAGTCATTTAGCATGTCAAAGTAAAATTTAAGCACATAAAATATATTTTCCCAACCATAAAATTGTGGCTAGTAAAAATGGCGAGTGGTTAGTAATGTTGGAAATGTACTAGCCAAAGTGGCTGGTGATCAAAAAAGTTAATGTCAAGCCCTGTATATATGTATATATACAGATGTCACTACTTCAATTTGTTCCTTATGCCGATATTCATACCGCGGCGACGACGGTAATTGGTGCACCAGCAACTTTAACTTTAACCACAGATATTCAGCTTTGCCTTTTAACAATACTAAACAGACTGTTCTGTATGCGTACCTTATGTGATGTGATGTGTTTAATTAAAATATAATATATTACCATCAACAAATTAATAAAATAAGTAGCAAATGAGAAATAAATGACAGAAAAGTTGATAAAAACAGACATTATCTCTAAAAGTTATCATCATTGCAAGATTAAAATGTGCACTGTCAGCTGAATACAGGCCTTAAATAAATTTAGAAAGCAACCAGTGCGCGCTGATATATATATTTTTTTTTTTCGAGTAACGAACAATTTCAACCGCGGGGAGATACCGACAGCTTGATTTGCAGTATTTTCTAACATGTTAGAAGTGAGCAGCGGACACCAAAAAAGGCTGCCGGTGGAGGAGCCGCTGTGCCCTCACTGCCCTCAGCAGCTGATTGAGACGGAGATACACTTCCTTACTGAGTGCACTAAATACTCCGAGATCCGGGAGAAATTCTACCCGATAATCCAACACATACAAAACAAATTTGAGTCCCTGTTGAACAGAAACTGCCCATCTTACTGGGGGAGTGTGTGTGCTGCTGTGTATTCAACCAACAATGACCCGCTCCACTG